GCGCATTCACCAATTTATCTAATGAAATACATACTTAACAACTGTTCACGATTGACTTCCACGGTGAAGGAATAACATCGTGTAATAAAAATCAAACCCGCAAAATTATAATTTGCGTAATTACTGGTGGTGGGACCTCTTGTGAGTCCGCACGGGTAGGTATCACCGCCCCGCCTATTTCTGCCGTGAAGCAGTAATGCGTTTTGGTTTGAAGGGTGGGGCAGCCGTTGTAACTATACTGAGACCTTAGAACTTATATCTCAAGGTGGGTGGCGCATTTACGTTGTAGATGTCTATGGGCTCCAGTAAACACTTAATATCAGGTGGGCTGTGAGCTCGTCCACCCATCTAAGCAATAAAAAAAGTTATATATTTTATATAATTAAGATTTACAGACCTTTAGAAGACGTATATTTCAATTGTTGAAGCCCTTTTTAGACACTTAATTCAAATTGTAATTGATTTGTATGCAATGCTTTTTTATATCTATTTGATTGTTACATGATAAGATCTTATTTGTTCTAAAATTATATTATAGATGTCGAAATTCAAGAAATAGTAAAAATAAAGACATCAATACATGTCTTCGTCTATGTCTTTGGTATCCATAACACCGCAGTAGCTTCTAGTTCGTGGAAAATATTGAACATTTAAGAACATATGGAATTAAAATTTGATATAATAGCTCTTAGCATTTTATGTAATGAAAATCAGTTAATTTTTGAGAGCTAGTTATATGGGTACTGCTATTTTTATAATCGTTGATAAATGAATTCAGTTATTTTGATAAAGACTAATTATTATTTTATTGTTTTCTTCTAAATGGAAATTTTAATTAAGAGCGGATAACACAGTAATTTTTCAGTAACTTAGTCGTCTGTGTAATTACAATAGTGAAAAGTTAATACTACAGTCTGCATATTTCGATACTTACTAAGATTCAACGCCCGCCATGTATTGTTGTGTCGATGAGTTCATCAAGTAACAATTATATGCTAAAGCCCGACCTCCCGACGCCCCTATATATATTATATATGAGTAAAATTCATGTAAATAAAATGTAATGTAAATAAATATGAATCCTAATTTCTATGTTTACCGCCGTGCATTTCTATTCTTCCGATTCTGATGAAATTAGATGCGGTTGTTGCTGTTGTTGTTGTTGGTGGTTGTACCATCAACTTATCGCAGGTGCTTGTGTCAACAATCTCGCGTGTTCCATACATTTAGCGATACTGAGCATGTAAGGGTTTCACTAGTAAATTATTTATTTAAACTGGGTCGAGCCGCTGTATACGCCCAGTCTACAATAAATCCAGCCCGACCTCCAAGATGTATCTCGGCCGTAGAACAATTACACTCGAGCTAGAGATGGGGCCCTTCGATACCTCGAGAAGTTCCGTCGTTATTGTTTTATCTCCGATCTCGTGCCATTTGTAAAGATTTGCATAATAACATCGAAAATGTATTTTAGTTCATACGTTGACTATTTCGGTATGAATAATGCTCACATTAAACATTAGGTCGAGGTTGTATGGTATATCGGGTTGCCTTGGTTCGTGTTTCACCAGCTTTTTCGCGGCAGAAAAACGCAGGATAGTGACGCTTATCTGTGCTGGCTCACACCACGCCCTGCCCACCGATGGCACGTTCACACACATTCGATGCGGCCCTAAAAATCCTTTTCAACATCCTTTGTTTCCCGAGGCCCTTCAAACGGGAAGGAGGAGGATAAATATTTCGTTTCAACGACTGGAAATGCGCAGGACAGTTTTCTGACAACAATAACTCGGGCCGTTCGAGTGCGGCCGCCCTTTTCAAAATCTTTCCTTTTTTATCTAAAGGTGATTTTTGCGCAAGGGTCGTCCTGTGTGGCGTGGTGTAAGTCGCGAGGGTTTTCGTGTTATCGTCAGGTTTGGCGCTTGTTTGCCATTTCAAGGAGAGCTTTTGTGACCAGAGAGGTAGGTATACCAGCCCGTTACTGCCGATGGGAAGTAATCATGCGGTTAGTTAGTACGGTAGCTTAATTCAATACCAAATTTCGGACTTATCCATCGATATTAGCAGAGGAATTTTCATTGTTGTTTCTGTAATTGTTTATAGTGGTGATGTCATTAGAGTAGCAGTGTTACCAAGGCCAAGGCCTCTGTTCTTGCCAGCTTATTGTTGAGTTTAAAGGTCTTAAATGGTTTACGCGACTAGCGATTTCATTTCCGCTGTCGCTTATGAATGTGACCGAATCATCTCTGGTCCGATGGCACTGCTCACCCGGGCCCTATAAACTGACAATTCAATTACAAACAACGCAGACTACGGAATCCTGGCATTCCGGGCGTCGAATGATATTGAACTTTTTCGGATTGATTCTGAGTGAACAGCGCTTGGTAACGGTATGACGTCACTTTGGATTTTTACCTGACTTTGCTGATTTGATTGGGAGATGAGGGTGTCAGTGTGAAGTGGCGAACACAGGATCCGTTTTTCAAGTGGATGTGAAGGATCGAATGTGGAACTATAACAGTGGTAAAATTCTTGAGTGGAACTCTGGGACTGTCATTGAAAATTACGTAAAACTGTATAAGATATTTGAATCAACGGTACAAAATGAGAGGAAAACCCCGGTAGTTTTGAAGAACTTTGAAGACGAAGAGAAGATAATGCGTCAAAATTTTGCGGATTAAAAAACAAAATACAGTGGATTTCATAAATAAAGACCTCGGTTATAACGACTTTTTGGTTATAGCGATGGCAAACTTCAGTCCCTTGAATTTAAAGTATACTTTCCTAAGAAATTCATTCGGTTATAGCGACCTCCGGATATAGCGACGACATTAAAGTACCCCTCCTCCGTCGTTATAACCGAAATTCACTGTGTGTATAAACAAGAAAATCACAGTGTGATTTTTATTGGGTTAGAAGGACTTCCGTCTATAAGTTGGGGGATAGTATGAGTGTCATATCAGAGTTAAGCTGACTAAAACCACGGGGTTTCTTCATCTTGACTCTTCGCGGGAAGCTCGACCGGTGGTAGACGCTGCTACAATCGCTAGGTCGACGGTTGTCTATTCAGATGTTGTCGCCAACTCTTACTTATAAAAATACTAGCTGTACCCACCTGCTTCGCTGGGCATTTAAAATTAACATTATTATTTCTCACCCCCACAAAAATTCTCATCATTAACGCCCCCGCAACTGGTTTAGGGAGTCCAACACTCATATAAATATTAGTCTATCCATTAAGTACATGTATTTCTACATGGATACCAAGTTTCAAGTCAATTGGATGCATGGTTCACTAGCTACTAGATGATGACCGAGCTTTGTTCGTTTTTTTTTATAACGCCATATTGTTGTGTCTTTAAAGCGGTTAGTTGCCCTCAATTAAGAAAAATATTATTATTATTCGCCAATAGATGTCGGGAAGAGTCATAAAGTTGATTATCGATAAAGTTGATTGTTGAAAACACGAATAGAACAACATTTTCTGAAAATAAATCGTAGCTAGATCGATTTATCGCCCCCGAAATCCCCTGTATACTAAATTTTATGAAAATCGTTGGAGCCGTTTCCGAGATTCAGATTATATATATACATATATACAAAAATTACTCGTTTAAAGGTATAAGAAAACAGAACATCCGTAAAAACCACTGTAGATTTATATATTAGTATAGATGACAGTAAAAACCTTTACGGTTTTGAGATTAAACCGTAAAAGTAGCTTTAATTATGTTTATGATTCCCGAAAACCGAAGAAATAACTGAAGTCATAATTTTTAAATACACGTAACAATAACAGAATATAGTATTTAAATTCTCGGCGAACACATTAACGGGAGTTCATTGAAAACTTGGCGCACGAAAATAAACAAGATTTTCTTTCAGTTGGACGAATTTGGACAATGAGCCGAATTCGTGGCAATGTTTCATTGTTCGGGAACATTTCTTTTTCATTTCGTTTCATTATTACAACGCTACTTAACATCTCGATGATTCAGACTCTTATGTTCTGATGAAAAATTTAATATCCCTTTAAACTTCTTCTCGTGTTTTAATAATGTTCTGGTTATATTTGATTTTGCTGTGTGAGATTAAAGTCTATTTTAGTACACAGTAGGTATATGAAATACGACATTTTGTTTGCAATGGCTTTGATTTCATAATTTGAATTAATTAGTTACGCGGTTTCTAAACGAGTACTCAAACTCATATGTATTACAGCCTATATGACTTCTCCACTAAAAGCCATAAGGCGATCGAAGTTTCAAAGGCGGATATTTTATCGTTAAGCCGAAATGTATGACTGCTTCGTGTCAGTGATTACGGTAACCTTAAGCTCTGTTTTCTGACTCACGTAGGCTCAGACCTAGGCGAGCTTTTTCTGGTGCTTTGTGGATTAAACTAGATACATTTACATGACCTTCAAACGAGGCTTGTGGAGAGCACTTAACGGTAGGCAGCGGCTTGGTTTTGCCCCTGGCATTGCTGAGTCCATGGGCGACGGTAAGCACTGACCATCAGGGGGCCGTATGCTTTGCCTACAAGGTAGATAAAAAAAACACGTGTGGCACTCGGGGACTGCCGCGGTAAAGCTATTGCATAGCAATTTTTATCAACTTATGCAATTATAATTAGACAATAAGAAAATAATATTAAAACAATAATAAAATAAGACCACGCTATATTTATAAACATTAACAAAAGCAAAACATTAAGTGACCCCTTCACACTCATAAGCTAGACCGCGCGAGAAAGATATGGGCAGACTTTTCACGATGCGCATGCAGTGCGACGTCACGCCGCGCGCTTATTCACAAACACTACACAAGCGCAACGTGTGAATGTGTTGAACGCGAGCTAAATGGTAGGCGGAGTAGGGGTGTTAGGTTTTATTTTCGTTACAAAATTTCTTGATTCGGTCGCCGTGCTCGAAGTCCGCGATAAAAGCGGTAATTTTCTTGATAACGTGTATGGTGATAGCGTCTGTGTTTTTGTTCTAGGTGAGGGCGTGCGCAGTTGCGAGCGGCGACGCGGCGCGGGTGCTGTGTCGCGCGGCATGCGGCGCCGGCCGCTGCTGACGCTCTTGCTGCTCGCGCTCTTGCGCGCGCACGGCTTACTTGCCGCATCCGGAGGTATGTGCTTGACGATCCACACTTTTCAGGATAGACTTGAAACTTTTATAATCGCGACGGGATGACGACTCAGTGCCTTGTAGGGCATGATTGAGGGTACAAGAATGCGCGGCAGATTAACAATGGATCGACCAAATAAAAGCAGCCTATTTAAATAATGTTGATAGATGTCTATGGGCTCCAGTAAAAACTTAACACCAGGTGGGCTTTGAGCTCGTCCACTCATCTAAGCAGTAAAAAAAGAGCTCTAAACTAGTCCCGTCAACGTGTGCACAAGAAAGGCCGCGGTACATGAGGAAGAGTGAAACGCACCACAATTCGAGCAAATGACCACGACCATTCTGCCAAAAGTGCAAAGGACTAAGAAGAAAATAGTTGGAACGCTTAAGTGCTCGCCAAGTCCGTGAATATCCTTGAGGCGAATTTTTTTTAAGGTTTTAATGCATTTTAGTATTTATGATAAGTTTTCGTGAAAATACAAAGAAATCAATAATAACTTCATTATATTTTTTCGGTTCAAAATTGTCAAATAATTAATCGCCGTGAAGTAATTTAGTTTCAGTGTTTAACTCAACCGAAATTTTAACTACTTCATTTTGCGTGATAGTTAAATATAAGCCACTAATTTCTTTGAACTTGGGACACATTTTGTGGTTTGAGCGATATACTCCATTTCGTGAGCATGCACTCATTACATATACCCTTACTTATATCAAAAATCAATAAATGGAGAGACTTTTTTTTCTCCGTTTGTACTAAATGAGTCGTCTATTATCAAAGGTGGCAATCTGTGCATTTGGAAAAAAAAATGTTATTGGTATGTCAATACAGATTGATTTGAATATAATCGTGTCCTTCAAAGAATACGGTTCAAAACCCGCATTAAATAAAGGATAATAGTTAACCTGTTATTTATCTAAGATGTCGTTCCGAAGAGTTTTGTGACTGCCAATGGAATACAAAGTCAATAATTCGTTTTTCTGATTTACCAATAATTATCCAAAAGTCAGATTGGCGGCTTTGATAATAGTCGACTCAAATACTCTTTTGTGCTCTTTGAAGTCGTCATGGACCAACAAACAAATAAAACGCCCGGTGGTCTCGAGCGATGTGACTGTGCCGGTGTTCAAATCTCGCAGGCGCGTACCTATCTAAGCAAAATGTACCTGATGCGTCCGATTAGGAACACGCGAGTAATTAAAAAAAATACGCGTAATGCTCAGTGATCGTCACAAAAAAGCGTATAGATAATACGGAGTCGATAATCGCTAGTTAGTTTTTAATCTGAGGAATTACTGGAGATGATCCCCTCATCTCCTTTTTCCATCACACCTGCCACCACCGGACTTGGGATGAGCTCCCCTCCACGGTGTTTCCTGAACGCTACAAAAGGCTCGTTTGAAGGACATGTTCTTCAAACGAGCTTTTGAGGCTTGCGGAGAGTACTCAATGGTAGGCAGCGACTTGGCTTTCTGCTCCTGGCTTTGCTGGTCTGCCTACAAAGACAATAAATAAAATAAAATCATTTTCTGTGATCATAATAAAACAGCGCGTGGCTTACGTGATGGGCCAACTCCTCATTCACGATGCTTCTCTCCGAAAGCGAGTATTTTTTTACACCTGAAGCTAATGGGAAAAAATGTTAATTAACATCATGGGTACTTTTGTCTGTATCCTCATTATTTGATCAGGCTCGGTGGATTTTAGAAGGAATCCCCTAAAGATGTTTGAGCGGCTAATTAAAAGATAATGGAAAATTTTCAAGTGAGGCTTAAGTATGTAAATTAGTTTTGGGAAAATTTGACCCCTCGGAAGGTCTGAATACCGAGAGACTTGGATCCTAGTGTAATTACTTCTTCACTCGAGTTTGTGCGTTGAGCATCCAAGACTCGATGTATAAACAGAACCGACATTTTAAGGAAGAGAGAGAGAGAGAGAGAAATAGTATACTTAATAGGACACCAAAGCACAATTAACATTAACAATCAGTTCACAGGTAGTCATAATAAGTACAACAGGTATCGCTAAAAGCGATCTCTTCTTGGCAACCGTTTTAATGTAGCCAAATTCTGAAAAATATACTACAGGGGCATGACTACCATTAACATTACCTAACGGGGTACATGATGCTGCGCGTCAGAAATAGGAAGGATAGTGCTACTTACCTTTGTGGGTATATAGTACATCCTAGCAGTAAGTGTTGGTGGGCGGTCGCAGTATGCTGATATAATACTGACAGAGCGCTGGTCTCCGGTGAATCTTTTTATCACCTATTACGACGACCTTAAGACGAAATTAATTGTGAATCTGTACCACATTAATTACCTGCGTTTTTCGGGCGTTGGATACGTTACGTTTTATTGTAATTGCGCTTTTGCAATTTTCTCGGGGCTTAACAAACAAATTATTCTTTGGTTTGTTTGAAAAATGACACCTCTGCCGTACTCTATTTATCGACCTAAACTTTTCTAAACCACTGTCATACGAAGTAGGACATTCAAAAGCAAATCCTTCGGAAGCTCGTAGTCCCTAACCAGGGTTGGCGATACGCCAGCAGTGAGAGTACGCGATGCATGCCAAATGGAATCTTAGTCATGTTGGCACAGATCAAATAATCAATTGGAACTGTCACGATGATATTAATATGTATAACATTGATTGTTTTAGCAGAGAAACATAAATAAATGCTCAAATTAACGTTTTACGAGCTTTACACGGTACAGATTACAAATAATGCTCAGGAGCTGTACAACGTCAGTAAACATGCTAAATTATTATTGTTATTGATAAATTGGACACATAAGCTCACGGCTCACCTGGTACTAAATGGCTAGAGTCACCCAGTCTTGAGAAAATCAAATCAGTATAGTTTCGGTACAATACGTAACGCACTCTGTAACAATGACATTTCAAGTGTTCTGCTTTAGAAGACAGACGAGCATATGGATGATCGGATGGTGAGTAATTACCAATGCTAAGACACCGCCTACTCATAGGAGTCTTGATTGATGAATGAAATATGTCATAATGTTCAAGAAACACAGCGGAAGGGAGCAGGGTGGTATATTGTAAAGAAACCTGAAAATACACTATGAATGAGCGAGCGTAGGACGTCGTGTAAGTTCGCACTGGTAGGTACCATCTCCCTGCCTTTTTCTGCCGTGAAGCAGTAGTTCGCAGTAAAGCGTTTCGGCTGGAAGGGCAGGCCAGTCGTTGCACTGTTAAAAGTGAGAATTTACAACTCATGTCTTGAGGTTGGTTGGGGCGGCATTTACGTTGTAGATGTCTATGGGCTTGTTTAGCTGGTTATCTCAAAGAGTTCTCAAGGTACCCCTCATGGAACATATGGTATAAAGTAAAGAGATAGCCGAAGCTTTCTCCATAGACTAAGATCTTCCGAAAAACTATTTCCCCCTAACTCAATCAATGAAAGCAAACCTCTCTCAATGAACTGCGGTAACAAGATTTATCTAGTCATAAGCGCCAGTGCACCGGCCTCCTAGGAATCTTAATAGCCTCGGGAGCGAACGGAATGCATAATTTCTACTCAATAGAATTGGTTCCAATGTTGATTGGCCCAGGAACTTGGGTATAATGTTGGTTAATTATTGGTCGGATAATTTTCTTATAGACAAGTATTCGTTTCTTGGTTTTTACTCTTAATAACTAATTGGATTATTGACGCAATTGATTTGCTCACGGGGCTCAAACCGGAGTGTTGCTAATACTGGCCCTAACAAGAGCAGTGCTTCGCAGAATCTAACACCGGATCGGAAACGCGACCCACTGAGAAGATCCTGCGAGAAACTCAGTGGGCTGTATCTATGGGTTAGTTTACTAGTCGAGCCCTTCGTCGCAAGCGGCGGGTTCGGTGAGGACGGTGCACGGTGCAATTAGTGTTATTATGGTCGGAACCATATATATCACAGCGTTGAGCCATAAGCCTAAATTTTCTTTTTCTATGACGACTATTCCATCTTCGAGATCATCCTAAGGTCCATTTCCATTTGGGATTCGAGGAGGCATTCACGTTATGTGGTGTATGGATCCCGGTAACTGAATACAAGGTGATCGAAAATTTGTATACTTAAAGGCAAAAAAAAATTAAGAATAGACCAAGCGTCTTAAATTGGGCTAATGACTCTTTAGAATTTGATTCAGGCATGAACGATTCATTAGTATACCATGTTGACCACTTACATTGTCTATAACCTCTGCCTTCAGTGGCTACAACAAAAATGGTGAGCTTAAATAGATTAATTGTAATCGTCACACGTCATAACTTAAAGCTATATTTTAGTACATTTCTTATTTATTAGCATATTATAACGCGACGGGACATTTCCGAACGCACCCTTAATTCCCATCAGCGCGTTCCTCGGAACGCGCCTCAACCGGCCGTGATTGGTCCGCGACCGCGCCGCCATCGCAAGCCGCCTCTGCGCTTGCGCATTATGGACTGACGCCGACGCGCTAAAAACGTTCTCCATTTTTTGTATTATAAGTATTATTGTTGTTGCGACTTGTGTGTGCGCGTGCGCTTATAGTAAGATTGATTTAAAGTGTTTGTTTTAAAGTTAATCATAATCATTAAACCTCTCGAACGATTATTCGACGTTTTATTCCAAAGTAACCCACGAAACACTCATATACATTAAAAATGGACGCCCAACTAGTGGCTTTGGAATAAACGAAGTGTGAACTCTTTGTGAATCGAACTGTGAGAAGTGACTATCGTACAAAATGACAAAGCCGCGCACACGTCGTCAGTCTCGTCGACAATCCGAGTATTTCGAACCGACAGAGGACGATTCTTCCCCGCCGCCGACTGCATCGGGAAACATTTCCGTNAAATTCATGCCAAAACGAGATGGCCCATATCGCGTTAAACGTGTTATAACTCCCACTACCTTTATACTCGCTAATTTGACTGACGACGACACTGTCATAGGAAAATACCACAGTTCGGACCTGACCCCCTTTACTCAAACGTCTGATAC